ATACGTATTTTCAATGGTGAGAGCATCATGACTATACTAGATCGTATCTCTAAACGAAGTAAACAAAGCGGACAACGAATACAAAATAATTAAAACCAAAATTCTCCATAAAGTCTCCAAATTAGTGACAATCTCCTTGAACACGGTTAGATGATTTTCCAAAGATCTGCCTTGTGTCATGCGTTGAGAATACAATCTTTACTTCAGATGTAAGTTGCTTGTCAGATTTTAGTCATGCACGGTTACTCCAACTTCAAGTACAATGTAGTTGCCGTTTTCTTCTTCAAAACGCCTTGAAGAATATTATTAGAAAAATGAAGATGGATCTGTGAAAGTGCTTTTCGATCCTTTCGTTGTTTCTCCTTCGTTGTCCAAGTTGTAGATATTTTGTCAAATCTCAAGAATGCATCATCCAAATCCATTTGCGCGAGTACAACTTGTCTTTTCACTCGTCACAATGAGAATCTTGTATTGCGATCTAAGAACGAAATTTCATACGTCATGGCTACTATTGATAATAGAAATCTCGAATATATCACAATCAATACCTTTGATACCACTTGTTAGGAAATAAAACGGATTGATATAGTATATATAACACGATACGGAATATATGATTGCAAACAAACAACAAAATAAAAGGTAAAGAATTCATTGGTAGAGGAACGGAATATTTTACTCAATTGACTAATATAGAGAAAATAAATACAATAAATGTGCATATATAATTATTCTATATTTCAGTAATAAATCAACTTGTAAAGAAGAGTCATCTATATATAAGGGACATATCAAAATCCTAACAATATTTTTAAAGATGGAAATGATATAAAAAACTTGTGGAATAAAGGAAATCATATTTTTCCAATAAAAGCATGTGGAATAAAGGAAAAAATATTTTCGAAAAAATCCAACATAATTTGAGTAAAAAACCTAACATTATATATATTTTTTTCTTGTTGCATTATTCAACGTAATTTACGCAATAGCAATATAATCTACTTATATTTATAGATCATATAATCCTTCAAAAAATATTTGGAGTGGGTTATTTAAGGTCCACGTTTTCTTTACTTTGAATTAAAATTCAATCAAGTAGAGGCTGATCATCATCTTCTTGGATCGAGAATAATTTGTTCATTTATTTGCCAAGTTTTCAAAAATTTGAGGAAAAGACCAATTGTTTACGGCCTTCAACAAGAAGAAAGAAGTATTAAAGTCAGTATTCTTTATTAATGAAAGTATTGTTGGAAGAATTTTGTGAATAGAGACGCCAAAAATAAGTATAAAGATAGGGACAAAGTCGAGGCAAGAGTTGGACTCTTTGTCCTTAAGTCGAATTTGCCCCGCAACGGTGCCTACGGATTTCGGCAATCGACTCCCAAGATACAACGGCTACACTTGTGTTTGTAGCACTCCAAAACACAAGTACAACGAACCAAATTTAGGTTTATGTACTCCAATGATGAAATGAAAGAAAATCAAAATAAATGAATGATTTTGATTTTGGATAGAAGAGAGGATGAGAGACGTTTTGCATATCAAACTGTGAGGAATAGGACACCCAAAGGGTCCTATTTATAGACCATGAAAGGGTGTGGACGAAATGGTTGGGGTCAAACCATGCACCCTTTCCAAACAATGCACCACCTTTATGAAAAGGTGTCTATTCACTGATTTTCGTCCTTTTTCGTAATTTCTCATTCATCCGATATTGGTTTTCGAAATGCCAAATATACCCTTCAATACATGCAGAGAAATCAAAATTCTCTTTCGGGGGCGTTGCCCCCGATCCCCCACGAGGGGCGCTGCTCCCTCGACCCTCGCGACCTGACCGGGCAGGTCGATCCCCGTTTGTGCGCTCCGAAGCGGCGAAGTGGCAAACAATTTTGCTTAAACGGATTGAGTCGAGCTTTTGAGTATTTGGTCGAAGTCGATACGAAGTCACTTTAATCGATTTTCAATTCTCGATTTATTTAACCAATATCCAACAAGTATTATTTCATTAAGCTTTGTGCAATGTTTATGTTGGTACTTATATTTGGTAGCATCATATCTTAATGATGATAGTTTGAGTATTGTGAAAAACTATTTGTTGTTATATACATTGCAACTGATGAACCTACTTGGCACGTTGTGCAAATTATTGTAAATTCTTTACGGAATTTAATTTGATAAATAAAATATTTAGCCCATTTTGTACATGTATGGTTAACAAAGCTATTTTACAATAATTTCTTTTTTCTTTTCATTCTGCTAAGATGTTTTATGTTAAAGTGTTATAGCCAATGATACAATTTGATGCTTATTTATTAGAAGATATTTTAGGTAAAATGGGGAATGGAAAATCGAAAATAAGAAAACATATTCGTCACTTCCCCCATAATTTTCCTTTTATTCTCAAGATGGTATCAGTGAAATTAAATTTTAAAATTTTCCACATAGATCTTGAGTGAAATTATAATAGTTGATTAACTTCGATCATAATAGAAATGAGATAACTCTTTTTATCATCAATAATCTACAAACATATGCAAATTAATAGAACGTCGGATATAACAAATGATGAAAAAATTGGAGATACAAGTGCAAAAATGAGAAAATGTTATGAAAATATGTTTGCAACTAAAATGTGGCATCTTTAACCCAAAAAGAAAAAAAGTGATTTTCCTCTAAGTACTAAAATATTTTTCTTAACTAATAGGATATTTTCACTTCAAACCTAGAAAATTAGAAGTTTTTCTTGTGTCCTGAGCTTTTCAAACATCACGAATGAGCCACATAGCATAATATTCAGTCAATCCTCAATATAGATTCTTTAAAACTCATTTTTTTCCAAAATTTATTTTTAATCATACATTTTTACATATTTATGGATCAAACCAAAACTTTACATTGTTTAATCCATATCAAGATTTACAAAACCACAAATTCAAAATTCTTGAATGATTAGGTATTGTCGCTATCTATCTATGTAGACCTTCTTGCCTCGGATTCTACTAGATGTAAACTCCAAGGATCTTATTACCCGCAGGTAAAAGTACCAACAATAATTTCTCTTTTTCGTCAACCAATAAAGTATACCATATTAACATCCATCAAACATTAACTACTGTAATCTAAACCTTATAAAGTTGATATTACGTTTTCTAGGAACACTGAATTTTCAATAGTCTTCATTAATAAATGTTTCGCCGTAAGATACCCCTTTCTTTTCTAAGACCTTTAATTCCTCAATAAATCGCAAGCCTAATCAGTTCTAGAAGTAGAGCGAAGGGATCGAGAATTCATATACTCTTGTAAAAAATTAATTCTAAAGTGTTTTTCAATTTTGATATTATCTTTTGGGCAATTAGGTAACATTAGTTAAAAAGAGAAATAAATTTGAATGATTTTGCTAATCAAGTTGTTAAAGAAAAGTAGGTCAGTTGACGGCTGACGGAGCCGGCATTCAACAGTCAACATTCTCCTGCCTCCATCCTTTAATTATTCAACCCCACGCGGATATTAGGTACTGCTGCTAGTACTAAACTTTTTTTGAACTTCCCACTCTACTTTTTGGAAAATTACGTTCTAATCTAACTGACTTTTCGAATTATATATTAGCCTTGTTTGAGCCCATTTTAAAGGGAAAAAAAAATAAATTTTTAAATAATATATTGATGAAAAATGTGTGAATAAAAAATAAGAATTTTTTTTAGATTTATGTATAATATTATTTTATTAAAAAATATGTGGTTGAAATAATTTCAAAATACTGTAGAAGAATGCATTTTTTCTAAATAATGGAGCTCAAACAAACTATTAGCCCTTGTTTGAGCCACATTATTTTGGAAAAAAATGTATTTTTGAATAGTGTATTGATAAAAATATGTGATTAAAAAATAAGAAAAAGTGTTGAATTTATGTGTAATATTATTTTATTGAAGAATGTGTGGTTAAAATGATATCAAATCATTATTTAAGAATGTATTTTTTTCAAATAATATAGATCAAATGGGCTATAGTGATTTCAATTTAATTTCAATTTCATCATTTTGTCAATTTTCATACAACGTATTGTTCTTCAAATTAATAATAATAATAATAATAATAATAATAATAATAATTGATTTACCATCATATCACGACTGATCTTCGACTTAATCATTACATGATATGACACCATGAAAACAAAATGATAAAATGAGTATTATGACAATGTCCTTAAAATGCTAAAGTGCGTGTTTTTAACACTTTTGTGCCATAGTGCTACAGTAAGTTGGGCTCTCATGCAACAATTTTGTGAAAAATTTTAATTTGAAAAGGTACACGATGGACTTGTGAAATTTAAAATTTTATTGAAGTTCACTAACTTAGTTTTCAAACTACATTTCGACGGCGTAGGGGTGTTAAGTGGAGACGAGCCACATAAGTGAGCCACTATATAGCTCGCGTGTCAATCGACCTGCCATGTTGAGAAAAATATATTAATTTAAGTAAAAAAAAATTAAAAATATGACAAGCAACTAGTAGTTTGCAAACTGGCTTGGCTCACTCCATCAAGGAGAGAGCTCGTGGGACGGGTTAATATGAACTTTGCTAAGCAAGTAGGCTCGTGCTTGATTCTCTCCACAAGTGAGCACAAGACAAATTGAGTTTGTGGGTAGGTGAGTTGAACAACTCGATTCATTTCATTTGAGGTAGCGGAATGTAACAAATATCAAATTTTACTTTTTAGTATTCTGATTTATTCGTCATGTTTAATATCCGAGTCTGTTTGGGAGCGATTTTTTCACCTAAAAAATTAATTTTTTGACCATTATTTTACTATTTCAGTCGTCATTTTGACTTTTTCTTTTACAGGTGGACCCTACTTTTTTTCTAAAGATCAAAAAATTAATTTTCAAAATTACTCCCAAACAAACTTCTATAAGGCGACGGAAGGTATCGAATTTTACTCCTTTGGATTCCAAATTCAAATTGTTGCATGTTCAAAGTGTCGATCGAAACAACAGACGACATTTCTAGTAAAAAAAGTCAAACTTTTATCTTATCAATTTTCACGTCACCACCAAAATCTCCATTAAAACCCCCAGCCGATTTCACCTCTATGCACATCACAACCATTCTCGCCGGACTTTTTCTCTTGTCAGCGCCAACTTTTCAACTCTCGAATCGACGCTTATTCGTTTTGCTCCATGTACGAATCCTTTGATAGCAAAGACTATGAGATGAAGCCCATAGAGATACGGGCAGTTGAAGCCCTAGGCCTTGGTTTCGATTTGGCCAGCGATTTTCGGCTCAAATTCGTAAAAAGGTGCCCCGATGGCGGAAGATTGGTGAGTTTAGATGAGAGGAATAAGAAGGATGTGGTAATTCCAGGACTCGGGGGCGTGAAGATTCCCGACGTACCCGATTGCATTCGGGTCGATAAAGGGGACCACATTAGGTTTAAGTCCGATGTTCTTCAATTTAATCAGGTCCCTTGTTTATAATTTTCCATTATTTTCTGTTTTGTTTACATGGATTGCATTTTCTTGTGAATTTATGTACATGGGTATTGTGTAATTGTGTCGATTATGAGTTTTGGAGCTAAAAATAAACGCGTGGTGAGATGTTTAGCACAACAGCTTTTAATGAATTTGAAGTGCGATAAGTTGTATCTTTTTCACTAATAGTTGTACTCTATTTGTCAGAGCGAGGTACAACTTTTGAAGAATGAGATTTTGTGTGGGAGACATTTTGGTTATTTAAGTTACTGAAGGGGAGAGATATTGATTATTATACACATATGATAGTTTTGATTATGATTTTTGGAGCTAAAAATGTAATCTTAACGCATAATATGATTGGTGAGGTGTTGGATACTAAAGATTGAGGAATAGCTCTTAATCAATTTGATGTGGTAGCAATAATATGAGTTGTAATCTTACTTCTGTTTTGAAGCACATGGCATCTCTATATTTTGGTAATTTATTTTTAGAGAGACAATAATTATTCTAAAATATACCCTATCATGCGCATATTTATAATGGTGTCGATTATAAATTTGGTGCTAAAAATATAGTCCTAAGGCATAAGATGATTGCTATGGCACCAATTCGTTTATGATGCTTGTACTTGAATTTGTGATAAAGCACGGGAGAAGTTGTGAAAGCATGAAATGGCATATGATTGTTTTTATATTTATGTTTAAGTGGTTGTTAAAAAAATTGTAAGTGTGATGCTGATCCTACAGCATACAGATACCGGCGCAAATATTCCTCTCTTTTCCTTAAACTCAATTTATTGTCATCTCCTCGATTTTCGGACCATGAAAAGCTAATGAAACCATCAACTTATGGCTAATAATTTCGAGGTTTCTCCTGCTTTTCCTTCATATACTTAACAAAATAAACAGTGGAAATTATGAAAATATACTTAGTGATCATGCCTTCATGAGAAAGTAATGCCGTCAAGTCCTGTTTTATCTTAAATTTTAATATTTCTCTGGTACTTAGATAATATAACGTGAAACTCAGGAGTATAATATAACATGAAAATCAGGATTCAAGATTAAGATTCTAACTTCAAATGCTAGCAGCTCTGTTAAGAGGGAACATGAATGGACCACTTCATGCAAATGGATTCTCTTCAGGAAAAAGTGAAGAACCTCACCTTATGTTTTTAGACGAAGTCATTAAGTTGTTAAGCCTTTGAAAAATTCCGTTGACTGACAAACTGGTGAAAATAACTGTAACTTTTTAGCTGTGTTGCACAACACTTCAATTAGGGTTGCATGTCCATGTTCCCTCACTCAGACTCTACCAGTTTTGTTTAATTGGATTTTAGTTATTATGATATAACAAATAAGTACTCTTATTTAAAAGATTTAAACAGGAAAATTAATAATGTGTAAAACTATAGTTATAATATATATACGTGAAGAATTTTAATCACATCCCGGGTTTGAAAAACTGCATGTACGACACGTCTTGGTGCATCATAGCTTTTTAGTATACCTTTCTTCTAAGTTTGAAATTAATTTATTGATGAAAGCTAAGTAGTGTAGTAACACCATGTACACTGTAATACCGTATCAAATAAAGGACATCCTCCAAAATGGTGGTCTATGTAGGTAGACTTTCGATGAACGGAAGTAGATGCACAATGAGATTCACCCTGGGTTGACTTCACCTTTTAACATTCATCTTTTTGCTCAATCAACAATTGTCATGTGAAATTCTGCAATGTTTTAACTCTTCATTGCTAATCTGATATCAATTCCTTATGGCAGATGTCAGAGCTACTTAATCAAAAATCATCAGTACAGGGAAAGATTCCTTCAGGATACCTTAATTCTATTTTTGATTTAACTGGAGCCTGGTTGAATGATGCTGCAGACGCCAAGTATCTAGCCTTCGATGGTTATTTCATCTCACTTTACTATTTGCACCTTACTGCATCAAGTTTAGTACTTCATGACCATGTAAAGAAGGCTGTTCCTTCCCACTGGAATCCGGCATCATTGTCTAGGTAATGTTCGAACTTGACAGTATTATTTGATGAACTTCAGAGCTCCTGATTACATGACTAAATAAGAGAGAAAAATAAAATAAAAATACATATAAATATGATGATTAATCCAATAACAAAATCAGGGAGTTTTGGCAAATAATGTTAGATTTTCTAAGCCGTATTGCAGTAATGGAAATAAAACTAAGCCCTAGTTTGACAATCATTATTTGAAGACTCTTATTTCTATATACTCATTTTCAACTACACATTTAAGTAATAAAATATTCTGCACATAAATAAAAACTTTCCCTATTTTAACCACACATTCTTCAAAAAATCACTATTCAAAACATTGTTTTGGCCAAATCATGGCCATCAAACAGGGGCTAAAGGTTGTATCCTCATATAAAATACCTTTTCGTTTCTATCCTTTTTTTCTTTCCGGATTGTGGTGGGTGGGATTTTGAGTAGTTTGTAGAAATGTTATTTTCTAGTATCATGGTGAACTTATGTACTGCATATGCTATTAGATTCTTGCAATTTGTTTATGATAATGATCTAAACATTCTAATAAGTTAAAAGTTCTGGATAATGTGCATTCTCTTAGAACGTGCAGTAGATGCTGTTGCATTTTTTATTTTTTTTAAAATTAAAAAAAAAAAAAATTGACTTTTGAGCTTCTCTATATCTATGTATTATAAGCTTCAACTTTGTTTGCAAATCGTTCTTGTTTAAATGTTTGTTTTCATATTTTCTTGTTGATATTTTTATTATATCTCTTCTTGATGCCCTGTGTTCTTTTTGTGGCCATAAGACTCATTGCCTTGTTCATGTTTAGATCAAGCACAAAATATGCTTAATGCTTATACCAATACTATAATAGAAATAGTATAACCTTTTGTGCACTTTTGCTATGTCAAAATTTGCCTTCCTGATTACTGGATGCAACCAGGTGTATGTTTGCTTCAGTGCGTGACCTTCATAGTTTATTGCACTGGTTGTGCTATAAACCTTCAATATTGATATTACTGCTACCATTTGGTATTAATAATAATAATTCATTTTTCTTAGCCAGGTTTATCAAGACTTATGGAACGCACATTATCATTGGAATGGCTGTTGGAGGCCAGGATTTACTTTGTGTTAAACAGAGACCGACTTCTCCAATTCCTCCAGCTGAACTCAAGGGATACTTGGAGGATCTTGGAGATTGCCTTTTCTCTGATACTAACAGTCCTATTCTGGACAGGAAAGTGGTTGATAACAAAAAAAAGGTATATGCTCACAGATATATGTGTGCAGTTGTGTCCGAGCATGTTCGCATATCTTTGTTGTTTCTCTTTAGGCTGTAATTTCACAACAAATAATGTAATTAATTCGATTATGTAGGTTCCCGAGGTATTTAATCGTATGTTACAGGCGCATACCATGCAATTTACCAGCATTACTGAAACATCGAGCAAGGATGTAAGATATCTCATTCTTCATGATTTCTTAGGATACCTATGCGTATAGACTTATGATGTGATATGCAACAGGGACTTACACTTATTTGGTCCAAAAGAGGAGGGGATGTGTTTGCACAAAGTCACTCCAGGTGGCTTCAGACGATGGCTGCTAATCCAGAAGCTGTACTCTTTAAATTTGTACCTATTACTTCTCTGCTTAATGGGATTCCAGGGAGTGGCTATCTTAGTCATGCAATAAACTTGTATCTTCGATGTATGATTCTGGATCCATTGTTATGACTAATACTGTATTTTCTTCTGGGTGGTCCATGTTGTCTCTTTTCACTATTTATCAAGCACTAGCTGCATGGTGTACTTGTACTAGCCATCATTTCTCATTTAATTTTATTTTGGAAAATAATATTATGTTTCTAATGTCAGACAAGCCAGCTTTAGAAGATCTGCAGTATTTTTTGGAGTTTCAAGTTCCTAGTCAGTGGGCACCTTTATTCTGTGAATTACCTCTTAGACATCAAAGAAGGAAGGCTTCTTTTCCTTCATTGCAGTTCAGTTTCTTAGGTCCAAAGATTTATGTTAGCTCCACCCAGGTAATTGCAATTTCACCTAGTAAAAATGCAGAAATGAAAATTTTGAACAAAATCTTGTTTTCTTGATTGGTGGATTAATTAAGGGTACATGATTGTAGCTTCAAATATCAAGTTAACTTAATTGTGTAACTTATAGATAACTCCCCATTCTCAATTTTGTCCCCTTTGATTTGCTAACAATGTTGATAAAAGCCAAAATCATAATCTTATAGGTTGTTTTATTAGTTTTGATGCTTTTGTTGTAATATTTTGTAGATACTTCTGTGCCTTTTCAGTATGTGTAGCTTGTATTTGAACGCTCAATTTTGGAAAATAATCGACTTTTGCCCAAGTTAATGGCTTAATAATTAGTGCTGGAAGTAACAAACAATGGAAGTCAGAGAAGGGGGATATTCTAAGCTTGTCTACTTTAGAGTGTAGATTTCTGATAGAAATTGTTCAAGCTAGAAACATGCAAAATTTTAGATATCCATTGATTCTTCAATAAAAGAAATAGAAAAATGCATGCATTTCAACGACTGACTGTTGAATAGTATTCTCATAATTTAACATAGCTGAACTGACTTCGAGTTGGCTGTGCTATTTTCTTGCTCTTTGTGCTGTGGAATCCAAATATGTTGGACTGGAGATGATAAAATTCCAAAGACATAAACACATAAAAAATAAAATAATAAAAATGGTATAGACTGTTTATATACGCCATCCAGTTGGGTTAGGAATTTGTACTACTTTCAGTACATTTGCCATTTAATGGCGTTTTACTTGTACTCGCCAGCCTTATCTTATAGAAATAAGGCTATTGGAAAAATTTTGCAGATATTGAATATTCCAACCATTAGAAGCTTCATTTGAATTTGTAGATTACACTCAACATACTTGGCTTTATTTTGTCTGTCATATTTCCTTCTGAAAGTGAATAGTGTCCTCATGCTCTGCAACATAATTTATGGTTCTGCTTCTTCTTTTTCTTGCTTGACTTGATCTAATTTTCAAATCATAGTTTTCAGAGAACCTTCAACAAAAACCCTTTTCTTAATTCCTTAAGTAGAAGATATGAACTTTGGTGGCCTTATTTTGTAGTGCTTGCACTATAACTTTCTCTTGTTATTTTCCCAATAGAGAATTGCTGTTGAATTTTGTTTTCTTCAGCCACTAATTTTGTGATCGCACATATTGATCAAACTTTTTTCATTTTGATTCGGTTTTAGGTTGCGAGTGATGGAAAACCCATTATTGGCCTCCGCTTGTACTTGGAAGGAAAGAAAAGCAACAGGTTGGCAATTCACGTACAGCATCTTTCAAGTCTTCCAAACATAATGGCGTTCACCTCAGGTAATGGAAACATTTGCAGGCCACAGTGGCGGGGTTCTGATGATTACGAATTTAGCAAAGAGTACTTAGAACCAGTCCGATGGAAGAGATATTCAAATGTATGCTCATCGGTAGTAAAGCACGATCCCAGCTGGGTAGTAGGTGAATCCCCTGGTGTTTTTGTTGTGAGCGGCGCACAGCTAGTTACCAAGGGTAAATGGCCAAGAAAAGTTCTTCACCTCCGCTTGCTTTATACCCACCTACCTAACTGCACCATTCGAAAGACAGAGTGGGCATCAGCACCTGAAGCTTCTCGGAAGTCGAGTTTCCTCACGAATTTGAGCACGACTTTCACATTCACCCAACGGGCAGTTACTGACGCTCCAAAGCAACTTCCGGCAACCTTGAACTCTGGTGTTTATCCTGATGGTCCACCCGTGCCCGTTCGGTCTACAAAGCTACTTAAATACGTGGATACAACCGAGGTTGCACGAGGTCCATATGACACCCCAGGACATTGGTTGGTAACGGCTGCTAAGTTGGTGGTTGAAGGTGGTAAAATTGGCTTGCAAGTGAAATTTGCATTATTAGACTATTCACAAGAATGATAATGTTATTTTGTAAATATTGAACAGGATTCAGGTTACTACTTTTATGATTTTGCTTTCTATTATATTCTTTTACCTATAAATGTACGGAGAGTGTGTACTATAATGTAAGCAGCATACGATAAATGTCGTCTTGTACAAAAACAAAATTACTGAATTTCGTGGTTGATGGCCGAGTTGTAAGTGGTATCCTTTATAGTTTGATGATTGTTCTGAATTTGTTGACAAACTGAATCTATATTTGTGATTCTGATATGTTCGTGAAAATGCAAACGGATTCTTATGAAGAGTATTCAACCTCTCTACTCTATCATAATCAGATGGCATTCTCAAAATCTGTACCCCGAGTTAAAGTGTAAAGCCCCAAATCGTTAAAAAAAAAAAAAAAAAACCTAGTTTGAGGTCTTTAATGTTAATCAAAATAAATTGCAGATAAGAAAAATTTTGAAGTTTGAAATATTAAAAAAAATAAAATAATGGGAGGTATTTGTTCATATAGACTTAAACAATTATTGGGTAATTTGATTATGGAAAACATCGGGAAGAAATTCAACAAATATCGGTTGCGCAGCAGTGAAAGAAAAATATATTTGACCTAACAAGTATCGAGTAAAATTTATGAAATTCTAAAGAACACTATAACATTCATATAAGTACAACATATAAAAAATTGGGGTTTCGACGATAATGTTTGAAGCACAAAAATATTTTTCAACTATGCTGGATAGTATTTTCGAAATGGGCTCGACACAGTCTACTAAAATAGACATAACTTTTTCTTAGGTTATATTTCAAGGTAAATCCAAAGACTACTATTAGAAGACTCGTAAACCTTTCAAACCCTACTAATTTCGCTCTAAAATATGCATTATAACCCAAGTTATACCATTTTTAAATAGGACATAATCTGAAATTTCAATTGAGCAATAATTAAACTTCATGCATAGTCAATCTAATATTTCCAAATTATAGTTGACATGCAATGTATATAAAAACTAGGTGAAATAAACATTTAAACATTATAAAAGTGTCATCTATGTGTTCATAAGAAATTTATATAATTGAAAATTTTACTAGAAAGTTAAAAAGCATTTCAAATCGCCGATGCAACTATGCCAAACCACTATTATGCCTTGAATTAACTTGTGAAATTTTAGCAGGAATGAGTACCACAAGTAATACTCAGTAAGAAACATTTAAGTAAATGATATAAAAAAATATTTTATAGAAATGCAAGTTTTGATTATTTATGTCAACGTCAATTCTGCCAAACGAACTTGTGATCAAGCAGTCCGCTTACTCTTAGATTTTGATAGCCCCTTTCAAGTACCACAAATCATATCTTGATATCTTATTTGAACCACCAAATAGTGTTTCCATTTTCTCACGAGTAACACAATAACACATTTGCAAATAAAAAACATATAATTTTTATTTCACTTACAAAAGTGCAAGAAACACCGTACCTTAAATGCTTGGAGTTTGAATACCATTTTATCTCCAATTTATAATAAAATGCAGCATGCTCCTAGCCTATCATTTAGATAATTTCCAAATTCAAATATGCCTTTAGTCTATGAAAAAAGGGTAAGTGAAATTTACGCATTTATAATTGCGGTTTGTGAGACAAAGGTGGCTAAAGGAGTTGAAATTTGATTTTTCAAATGGTGGATACAATTAGCATTTACATTTGAATAATAACATGCATTTGAAATGAACTTATGACCTCTAAAATAAAAAGGACGGTTTTTAGTGAATGGTAAAATTAAATGGACTGCCTTGAGAAACAAATCAGATTTGACTGGTGAGAAAAAAATCAAAATATGTGGCTAAAAAAAATAATAATAAAAAAATAAAATAAAATCATGTTGGCTAATTGACATATACAAAAAGGGAATCAAATTTTAAATTTTTAAGGATTTAACATAGGTAGCAATTAGTACAAAATATGTCATCACACATAACGTAACCATATCAAAATAAAAATTTGTCGTTTAAAAGAGATTTTGACACCTTACAAAATTTTAATACAAGTGTATACAATTTTACTATTAGGACCAAAAATAATTAATCTGGAGTCTTTGGAAGTATTGTAGCGACTTAGTTGTATAACCTAAATCATTTTCAAGTTCCACAGGAAAATTTCTTTTAAAAAGAAACACAAGATTTTTCTTGTTCGCTACATAATGTTCTTGGATATCTCGTTTCTCCTCGAAAAATTCAATTGTTTCTTTCCTGCGTGATTAAGGGGCGTATAAACCAGAAAATGTGAAGTTGATCTTGTTTGAAAGTGAATTGAAGTTTATTTATCTCATTGCGATACTTTAAAGTTATGTGACCTAATTGACAAAAAATGATGGGAATTTTGCAGTTTGGGTCTTCATCTTCTGTGAGAATATTTCACTTAGTCCTCATTAAAATTTTTCAGACTTTTATGTTCAATTTTTTGGGTGACCGTTCAAACCCAAACATCTATGCACTATCTTTTCATGTTTCTCTTGCGTTAATATTCACGACCAAGTTAAAAAAAGAGTTTAAAAACAGCCTCGACCACTACTGGACACTTTTTTCTCGTTTTTTTTTTTTTTTTTTTTGCTAGACAAATACGTGTCGTCAACCATTCAATAACTATTAGTTCAATGATTTCATTCCCAGTAGTGAACGCAAGCCCTACGAGCCACGAATAGAGAAGAAAACAAGTCAATGATCTATCTTTACCTGCTAACTAATCAAACGCAACGTGAAACACGTGTCATTACTTGGTATCTGATGTGCAAAATAGTGAACTTTTATTTCTTTGAAATAGCTATAAGTATAAAACAGGGATCACTATTAACTCTTTAATTAAATCAAATATCATTCTAATTTTACTATTTTAAGTAAAATGGACTTTGGAAAAAAGAATTTGACACAGATGAGCACGACAAAGGAAATACACACAGACTTGTGGATCATAACAGCTCTACTTTGAGCCTCAACGAGCAAAGTATGTATAGGCAACTTGTAATGACTACGATCTTTCCCCTACGAGCCTTCTGCTTAGGGGCTATTCCATGTCCAATTTTCATTAAAGTTCCTCTCAAGGAGGATGTCTAAGGTCCAAGTCGTTGAGAATGCGAAGTAAATGCACAATGGGGCCTAACCCCTAGTAATGGCAACGGGGCGGGGGAATGAATGTAATAGAAAAATCAGCCCAAATGGGGGAGGGGGATCATGGTCCTCACCTCGTTTTAGTTTTTTAAAAGAAATAAAAAGAATCGACAAAGACATTTCGAACGCCACATCATATTTATATTAAAATCATCATTTCCATAAATAAAAAATAAATTGGAGGTTAAAAGGGGATTGTGTTCGTCTCCACCCGTCCCGTCATGTCCTATTCCAATTAGGTCCCTATCCAGAACTCGTCATGTTTTCATTTCTATCATACCTTATTGGACAGTACTTGTAATATCTTAAATTAATGGGAAGAATAGTCAAACTAAAAAAAATGACCAAAAAAAAAAAAAAAAGGCAGGCGGTGGAAACTCAAACCAATACATTATAAATTTACTCAAAACCAATTTAAAAACAAAAACACACACTACACACACAACGAAAGTGAGCCAGAGAGAGAGAAGAAGAGAAAAAAGAGAAAGAAAAAAAAGGAAAAAGAGGGAAAAAAAAAGAAAAAAAAAATCGCCAACGTGTTAAGAATTAAGTGGGTTTACTATTAGGCTTGAATTCCTCAATTTTGAAAGTAAAAAGTTACTTATTGAAATGTTATGTTAAATTTTATAGTTGTTAGATAGTTAGATTAAATTCAATTTTATTGAAAGGGTTAAATATAATAAACTAGGAAATTGAGTAAAATGAAAGAAAAATTAGTTTTAGTAATTTAAGAGATTTTAGAAATCGCCTAAATTTGAAATAATTAAGTTTGGGTATCACCTATTTAATTAATAAAAATTCTTAAAATAGCTAATTATTGATTTAAAAATTATATCATATTCCAGGCGGCGATACGGATATCGGGATAGCTTACCAACTGAGTTGATTTTGGCGTACATAGTTCTGTGAGTGAAAAAATATAAATACTTTTAAAGTATTTATAAATTAAGTATATTGTTAAAGTATGTACAATTATATGCAATTATGTGTTTGAATTATATGGTTATTATAGAACTATCTTTTATTATGATACATGTGGGATTTCAAAGATTGTATACGGTATGTTGTGAATTAGAATATGAGATATGATTTTGAGATCGATTAGAAAAGTACTCGTGATTATATATTTCTTCTAATTCACAGAGGGGCCTCGGCAGTGTTCTATCCTACATGGAGGGGTCTCGACCTGACATTGGTCTTGATCGTGTACATATAGTTCACAGAGGGGCATTGACCGTGTTCTAGAATTAATTACCAGAAGTCTTGAGACCGACTTTCATTCATGGAGGGGGCCAAAGGCCCGTGACGAAAGTGCTTAGTCCGAGAGGCGGATTACAGATTTTAGTCAGATGGTACATTTTTGGTGGATTTTTCAACATGTTTGATGTGATGAGATTATAGTATGGTTATCAACTGATGTTCACATCATGATTTTAAGATGATATTTTACGACCTTATGTGAATATTTCACTTTTTGACTATAATTACATGATGGTAGCTTGTGAATTGTCAAATGGCATGAATTTGATTTTCAATAAAAATGTATAAATGAAAAATTATATTTATTTTGAATTTCTCCACTCACTTAGCTATCAACTCGTATATTTTCCCACATTTTCCCTATTAGGCGGCAGTTGAGTATTTGAGCATCTTTGGAGTTGAGCCTTGATTTTGGAGTCAGAGCCACACGATATGACTCACTTCATAGAACATGTAGTCAGTGTTTTGGGACGCATGTTCATGTTTAGATGTGATTTTGCATCACTTGTAGATAGTTATGGGGTTCACTATGTATTTTGTATCCCTATGTACATTTCATTTTACTTCTTGGTAAAAGTTGAGGTTTCGACTTATTTTTATTGTGTTGTGTTATAGTTTAGGATTTGTGTGAACTTGATCACGGCTGAGTTAGTCCTGTTTACAAGGGAGATAATGTCGAAATTCTGTTAGAAAAATGATTTATAAAAAGTGATATATTGTACTTGTTATAACCTTGATGGTGGGTCCGACTTTTAGTTGGTATCTATCGTCGGCTCATGTCACGTCTGGATCTAGTACATGGGATGGGGTGTCAGTTGGTATCCGAGTATGCATTAGAGTTCATAGGTTTGCATTGTACATACATACATTCTGATGTTTAGCATATCATGCATAACTGTAGGTCAGTCATGCCTCGTGGTGGCAGAACTCGAAGGCTCCAAAATATGTTATCCCGGTCTCACATTGTTCCTGATTGAGATGAAATAAGAGAGCCCGAGAGAGTAGATGAATCAGTTTACCAGTCTCCTGAACAACGAGGATAGGGAAATGTGATTGGAACTGATCCTAATGCGGTTGAAAGAATTGCTATTGCCGTTGCATCTGCTTTGTATAATATTGACAAAGATTTCAGTATTGAGAGGGCTACAAAATTAGGGGCTAAAGTTTTCACTAGCACAGCCGATCCTGCAGTAGCGCATGCATGGATGATCAAGATAGAGAGGGTATTTGATGTTATAGGTTGCTCAGACGATCAAAAGTTGTGTCTTGCCACTTTCTTATTAGATGAGGGTGCATATGATTTGTGGCAGTCGGTACGGAGTACATATCTAGACCCTTCCATCATCACTTGGACAGATTATTGTCGTATATTTTATGATGCCTATTACTATCGATCCTATAAAGATGTAAAGGAGGAGGAATTTTTTAAGTTAGTACAAGGGTAGATGAGAGTTGTAGAATATCAGGTGAAATTTATTGAACTTTCAAAGTATGCCCAACTTCTGGTAAGCAATGAAATTGATAAATGTAGATGATTTGAAAATGGGTTAAGGGAAGAAATTCGTTCAGTAGTAACAGCTGCAGGCTCGAATGTATTTGGCAAATTGTTGGAATCAGCTTTGGGTGTAGAAACGAGCATTCCTGATAGGCCAAGTGGTAGAGAACAAACAATATTCAGAGCAAGCAGTAGTCAGACAATGGCAAGTACTTCTAGCTATAGACCACCACGGAGAGACAGTAGAGGATTTCGACCTAGTGTATCCAGTTCAGGTCAATTTAAATCTCGATTTCGAGGAAGTCAGGGTCCTAGATTCAGTCATAGTACTGTACAACAGCGATTGGCTAGTCGTAATTATACTCAGGGTTCTTCCCAGAGATCATTTACTCCGAGAAAGAGAGAGAGTTCTACTAGTGTCAGATTTTCTTCTTGCTAGTTATGTGGAAGATCTCATCCTGGAGAGTGTTTAAAGTTCAAGGGGGTTGTTGTTTACTATCACTGTGGCCAAAAAGGACATGTGAAAAGGAATTATCCAGTTGTATTTCAGGAGGGTGGCATAGCACAGAGAATGTTTCCTCAGCAGAGTGCTGGTAGTTCAAGACAGAATCAGACTCAGAGAGATGATTTAGTTAACGGAGCAGGTGCAAACAATGTGGCTCGGTCTAATATCGCAAGCGGTAGTGGTACAAAATCAAAAGGGCAGGCATGAAGATCGAAGACCCAGGGAAAGATTTTTGGGATGACTCAGTAGACGGTAGAGGAGTCACCAGATGTTATCATGGGTATGCTGTCTATTTTTGATAGGAATGCTCGTATTTTGATTGATCCTGGATCTACACATTCTTTTATGTCATTTGCATTTGCTTTATATATGAATCAAAAGCCAGAACTTTTAGGCAGTTGTTTGGTAGTGAATACACTAGTAGGAGAATCACTATTAGCAAACAATATATATCGAGATTGTGGGATTAAGGTAAATGAGAACGAGTTGAAGGTAAATTTAATACATCTTGACATACATGATTTTGATGTTATCTTGGGTATGAACTTTTTGGAAACAAATCGAGCTTCAGTTGATTGCTTTCGAAAAGAGGTTGTGTTTAGACAGCCAGGACAGCCTGAAATTATATTCAATGGACAACGCAGAATTTTACCGTCTTGTGTGATATCTGCTACTGATGCTAGAAGATTACTTAACAAGGGTTGCCGTGCATATTTAGCTCATGTGATTGACAAGATGTTAGCAAACTAAAACTTGAAGACATCCTAGTGGTCAAGGACTTTCTTGATGTCACTATAGATCTGATTCTAGGAACTGCACCTATTTCACAGTAGAATTGAAAGAGCTAAAGGTTTAGTTGCAAGAGTTGGTAGACAAGGGTTTCATTAGACCTTGTGTATCTTCGTGGGGAGCACCAGTTATGTTTGTGAAGAAGAAAGATGGCACCATGTGACTGTGCATAGATAACAGACAATTGAACAAAGTGACAATTCGCAATAAATATATTTTGCCACGTATTGATGATATGTTTGTTCAGTTTCGTGGTGCTGCAATATTTTCAAAGATTGATTTGCGTTCTGGATATTATCAACTTAAAATCAGGGACAGTGATGTGCCAAAAACTGCTTTCAGGACAAGATATGATCATTTTGAATTTCTTGTGATGACATTTGGGTTGACCAATGCACCAGCAGCATTTATGGATATGATGAATAAAGTGTTTCGCCCGTATTTAAACATATTTGTGATCGTATTCATTGATGATATTTTAGTATACTCTTGAGATCATGATGAGCACATAGAGCATCTCAGAATCATCTTACAGACTCTACGTGATAAACAGTTGTATGCTAAATTTAGTAAATGTGAATTATGGTTTAATAGAGTTGTATTTTGGGACATGTCATATTAGCAGAGGGAATTTATATTGATCCGCAGAAAACTGAGGCAGTGATAAAATGGGAAAGGCCTACTAATGTGACAGAAATATGAAGTTTTCTTGGTTTCGCAAGTTATTATCATCGTTTTGTAGAGGGATTTTCTAAAAATGCTTTATCTTTGACCAGTTTGACTAAAAAGAATGCTAAATTTGTTTGGAATGAAAATTGCGAAAGAAGTTTTCTCGAATTGAAGAATAGATTAGTGTCAGCTCCAGTTCTTACACTTCCATCTCCCGGTGAAACATGAACCGAGTTATCCTACACATGACTAGAGCTAACTGCAGTTGTCCTAGCCTTGAAAATTTGGAGACATTACTTGTATGGTGAGAGATGCCAGATGTACACAGATAATAAAAGCTTAAAGTATATTTTCGATAAGAAAGAGTTAAACTTGAGGCAAAGAAGATGGTTAGAGCTGATAAAAGATTATGACTGCAAGATTGATTATTATCCAGGGAAGGTTACTGTAGTTGCTGATGCTCTAAGTCGGAAAATATCGAGTCCTATGACCTAGACTAATGCAGTATGTTCATCTTTGCTTGGTGAGTTCAGGGCTTCTCATGTCCAATTATCAGTTACAAGTGTAGGAGCATTGTTTGCCAACTTCCAAGTGAGGCCTACTTTGATTGACACAGTTAGAGAAACTCAAACTCAAGATCCAGTGTTGAGTAAATTGAAAGAAGAAGTTAGTAAAGGTAAGCATACAGATTATACCATTAGAGATGACGGAGCTTTAGTTATGAGAAACAGATTATGTGTTCCAGATGATTCGAAATTGAAGGGAGAAATTCTAGAAGAAGCACATAGTTCAGCTTATGCGATGCATTCAGGTAGTAACAAAATGTATCGTGTACTCAAAGAACACTATTGGTGGCATGGAATGAAGAGAAAAATAGCTGAGTTTGTATCCATATGTCTCATTTGCCAGCAAGTAAACCAGATCGTCAGAAAACAGCAGGATTGTTACAAACTTTGCCTATTCCTAAGTGGAAATTGGAACACATTACTATGAATTTTCTATTTGGACTTCCACGGACTCAGAGTGGACATGATGGCATATGGATCATTGTAGACAGGTTAACGAAGACTGCTAGATTTTTGCCTATTAAAGTTACTTACTCGTTAGATAAATTGGCAAAAATATATGTTAATGAGATAATAAGTTTGTATGGGACACCAGTATTCAGATAGAGATTCTCGTTTCACTTCTAAATTTTTGTCCTGTTTGTAGAAAGCTATGGGTACTAAATTTCATTTCAGTACAGCTTTTCATCCACAAATAGATGGTCAGTCAGAAAGAACTATTCAGACTTTGGAAGACATGTTACGAGCTTGTGTACTACAGTTCAAAAGGAATTGGGATACTCATCTTCCTTTGATGAAGTTTGCTTATAATAACAGTTATCATTTGAGTATAAAAATGTCTCCTTTTGAAGCACTGTATCGTAGGAAGTACAGAACTCCAGTATGTTGGATGAAGTTGGCGAAAGAAAGCTATTGGGTCTTGAATATGTCCATATTACTGCTGAGAAAGTAAAGATAATTAAAGAAAAGTTAAAGACAGCCCAAGATAGACAGAAGAACTATGCAGATAGACACAGAAGATACCTTGAATTTGATGTTGGAGATAGAGTTTTCCTGCGATTGTCGTCATGAAAAAGTGTTATCAGATTTGGTAAATAGGGTAAATTGAGTCCAAGGTATATTGGCTCATATGAGATTGTTGAACGCATCGGTCCAGTTGCTTATCGATTGGCTTTGCCAATGAAATTGTCCAGAATTCATGATGTATTCCATGTTTCCATGTTTCATAAGTATATTCCATATCCATCTCATTTTTTGGAATCACGACTAGTAGAGTTGAAGGAAAATCTTACCTATGAAGAAAAATCATTTCAGATATTGGATAAGAAGAAACATGTCTTGCGTAGTAAGACTATTCCTTTGGTTAAAATCTTGTAGAGCAATCATGCTGTAGAAGAAGGGACATGGAAAAAAGAAGAGCAGATGCGTTCTCAGTACCCTCGAATTTTTCGCACTTGGTCAATTGAATTTCGAAGACGAAATTCATTTAAGGGGGTGAGTTTTGTAATATCTTAAATTAATGGAAAGAAAAGTCAAACTAAAAAAAAGGACAAAAGAAAAGAAAAAAAAAGTTGCAGGTGGTGGAAACTCAAACCAATCCATTATAAATTTACCCAAAACCAATTTAAAAACAAAACACACACTACACACACAAAGAAAATGAGCCAGAGAGAAAGAAGAAGAGAGAAATGAGAAAGGCAAAAAAAAAAAAAAGAAAAAAGAGGAAAAAAAAAGGAAAATTCACCAACGTGTTAGAAATTAAGTGGATTATACTATTATGCTTGAATTCCTCAATTTTGAAAGTAAAAAGTTACTTATTGAAAGATTATGTTTAATTTTATAGTTGTTAGATTGTTAGATTAAATTCAATTTTATTGAAAGTGTTAAGTATAATAAACTAGGAAATTGAGTAGAATGAAAGAAAAATTAGTTTTAGTAATTAAAGAGTCTTTAGAAATCGCCTAAACGTGAAATAATTAAGTTTGGATATCGCCTATTTAATTAATGAAATTTTTTAAAATAGCTAATTATTGATTTAAAAATTATATCATATTTCAGGCGACGATACGGATATCGGGACAGCTTACTAACCGAGTTGATTTTGGCGTACATAGTTCTGTGAGTGGAAAAAAATAAATATTTTTAAAGTATTTACAAATTAAGTATATTGTTAAAGTATGTGCAATTATGTGTTCGAATTATATAATTATTATAGAACCATCTTTTATTATGATACATGTGGGATTTCAAAGATTGCATACGGTACATTGTGAATTGGAATATGAGATATGATTTTGAGATCGACCAGAAAAGTACCTGTGATTATATATTTCTTCTAATTCACAGAAGGGCCTTGGCCATGTTCTATCCTACACAGAGGGGTCTTGACCTGACATTGGTCTTGATCGTATATATATAGTTCATAGAGAGGCCTTGACCGTGTTCTAGAATTGATTACCAAAGGTTTTGAGATCGACTTTCGTTCACGGAGGGGGCCAAAGGCTCGTGGCGAAAGTACTTAGCCGGAGAGACAGATTACAGATTTTAGTCAGAGGGTATATTTTTAGTGAATTTTTCAGCACGTTTGATGTGATGAGATTATAGCATAGTTATCAGCTGATGTTCACATTATGATTTTAAGATGATATTTTACGACCTTACGTGAATATTTCACTTTTTGGCTATAATTACATGATGGTAGCTTGTAAATTATCAAATGACATGAATTTGATTTTCAATAAAAATATATAAATGAAAAAGTATATTTATTTTGAACTTTTCCACTCACGAGCTATTAACTCATATATTTTCTCATATTTTCCTTATCAGTTAGCAATTGAGTATTTGGGCATTTTTTGGAGTTGAGCCTTGATTTTGGAGTCAGAGCCACACGACAGAATTTGTTAGTATGACTCACTTCATAGAACATGTAGTCAGTGTTTTGGGACGCATGTCCATGTCTAGATGTGATTTTGCATCACTTGTATATAGTTATGGGCTCACTATGTATTTTGTATCCCTATGTACATGCAGGGACGGACTCAGACAGTTCGAATTGTGGGGTCAAAATTTTTTTCTTTTCGAACAACGTATCATGAACAAAAATGAAAAATCGGTTGTTTGTTATTCATGTTCGGTATTTGCACTTTGGAAAGAAATTAGTGAATTATACGATATATCTATGGACTAAATAATGGATATGGATCAAGTGATATGGATATAGATATAGGATATGGACATTTTGAGGCAGAAAATTAAGTTTTCAGCAAAAAAAAAAAAAAATCCAAAAATCTGTGGGGTCATTTGACCCCACATGACCCCATGTGGGTCCGCCCCGTGTACATGTCAATTTATTTTTTGGTAAAAGTTGAGATTTAGGCTTATCTTTATTGTATTGTGTTATTGTTTGGGATTTGTGTAAAATTGATCACAGGTGGGTTAGTCCTGTTTACAAGGGGGATAATGTCGAAATTTTTTTAGAAAAATAATGTATAAAAAGTGATATATTGTACTTGTTGTAGTCTTAATGGTGGGTCCGACTTTTAGTTGGTATCTATCATCAGCGCATACCATGTCCGGATATAGTAGTGTTACACGAAGCGGGGTGTGTCGGTATTTGTCCAATTGGTACCAACATTCTGATTAAATTCCCCTTAAGGGGGAGGTCAAAAGTTCATTGAGGACTCGAAATAAATTCATGTTATGGCCAAACCTCGCTTGGACAAACATAAGGAAATTTTCTCTTTTTAAACTTCTTTCAATTATAGTGAATTATTGCTACCATGGAAGAGGACGTAGTTTCACATTGAAATGAACATATGCAAATCTTCTGCGTCTTCATCTCTTTCTGCCAATATATCTTGGTTCGTAATTGGTGTATTGATAGTGAACAGCATCACAGTAGCCATCAATTTTGTTGAAAAAACTTCAGATATTTCTCCTTTAGCCAAAATTAAATGACAATTTCTACTTTTCCAAAACAACAATAATTTTAAGGATGGATATTTCACCAAACGTCAGTGTAGCAAACAATATCAATTTACATCCAATTTCACTACAACAATAAGTAAAATGCATGCAATAAATTGAAGCCTATGTTAAACTTCGAACGACAGCTTGAATAGAAATTTGAAGTTCAATGATGCAACTATCTTCAACGACAAATCCTTTCTCAGGATCATTCATATCAACCATCGGAATGAATCTAGGCCATCCCCAATGGTCAGAAGCTGAAAACCATTGATTGTCTGCAAAAAATTGAATGCACAATTTCATGATATTGTAATCAAATTACCCAAAAAAAAAAAAAAAAAAAAAAGTCTTTACAACTTGAATTAGTTCAGTTACATCAACCTTTATGCCGTATTATAATTACAAAATTAGGTAATATTCCTTATTCAGGACTTCGATCAAAATTTGTCCTAATTAAAATTATCAATTATGAATTATAATTGATTCCCCACTTATTTGAAGTTTTAAAAAGTGAGAAAAAGATTCTTATTGGAGATGAGTTAAAATGACATGATCTTCAATAAACAAGCTAAAATCAAACTATCAGAATAAACAAAATTTGAGAAGATAAATGTCAATTTTAGAGGATTATTTATTTTCAGAATAAAAATGCTGTCTTACTGTGGATCTTGCGAGCTGCACAACCAATCTGGTTTTTCAGGCATATGGAGAAATCCGCATTCAGTTTTAGATAGGAAGACTGTTTTTCAATACCAACTGCACACAAGAATATAGAAACACAGTGCCCCTTTTGTTCACCATCTCCTTTCGGACACACACAAAGCTTCCTTAGTTAACCAACAAATTTGGAATCACAAGATCACTAAGGGGAAGAAAGGTAAGAGTTGTAGTAGAAAACCGGGATAAAGAGATATACCATTTATGATCTCCAGTGATGAATTCCTCAGTATACCACTCGTTTTTCAGTTCTGAGAATTTCGATAACTTGAATTCACGCTTACAGGAATCAGTTACTTAGACAAAGACAAGCATTCTCCAATCCCTTTACTCTTGATGACAAACACTTCCGCCCCAAATAAACATTTATCGTCAACAATGTATCCATTAGTTGGATCTATCAAAGTTTCCCAAGCAATGAAATTGGAAAAGCCCCATTCAGGGTTTATACGATGAAAACGTCGTTGACCTGCACGCAGAGAGAAGCAGCTAATGTAATGACAGTTTAAGAATTTTTTATATACACTAAATGCTTTCCTACTCGCTTTAGAAGTAGATATTACCTTTCATAGACATAAAATTGTCAAGCTTGTGATTGAACAAAAAGATGCCGAAGAAGGCATTAAATTCCCAGCCTGTAGGCAAAGAACTTATATCTGCTACAACCAAGTAAGCAGAAACATGATTGGCTCCATCATCTGTGTTTCGCCCATTAGGGTATATTATCAACTTCCTAGAGTCCATGAATTCAAATTACAAACTAATAAATTAACATGAAAAATTACAGAAAACAAATGGAGTTAAAAAGGGTTATAATTCATAAATTTATGAAAGAGACCATTTGTAGTCGCCTGATTCAAATTCACTTGATTCATACTTGTCTATACCATTTTCTGAAAGCAAGGAGAATGACTCAATCTTGACCAAGAAGTGTGCTGGAGAGAGTTCTCTCGTTTCTGTTGTAACTTCTGCAACAATTTTAACAGAAAAACAAATGACTATAATGTCCCGTCTCTATGTTAATTAAGTAGGCAAGAGTTTTGGTTAAGAATAAAGATTAGAGGTCAAAGGAACTCACCATTGTCATCACCAGTACTCTGAAGAGGAGCCTCAATTCGTTAATTATAGAGTAATGCTATTCGTAGTAAAGACTGCTAGTAGTCGCTCTATGTGACATACATTTGACAATTTGGTATTTAATATATAGATATGGTAGTTATTTTTTGAATTATACATCAAATAAAAAACTACCAAGTGTAGGCCACATAGGGCGACTGTCGGTAGTTTTCACTGCAAATAGCATTATTCTTAATTATATAATGAAGATTTCTCAGGTTTGTCGTGACTTTTCGATGAATATTTCTTGGGCTTTGTGGTGACTCTTGGATACTGCTGCTAATAATCATGCTTAAGATGTCTTCTTAGTAAAGTAGTGTTGTGCAAATGCAAAGATTAACGCTTGGTGTACAGAAAATTTTTTTACAGAAGAAATACAGATGTCTCACAATAGCGTAGTCCCATGATTAAATAATGTTAAAAAATTACCCACCCAACCCCAAATATGAGGTGTCAGTAGGGGTTATGTAAACCCCTATCTGTACACTAGTCACGGCTCGTGAAACTTTATACATGGATCTTTCTAATATATATTTTATTTCTGCAACTATATAATATGATATTAGGGAAATGTATCTTAAATCAATTTCAAAAATATTTTAATTTGCACAGAGTCAACAAAATATTTCTTTTTTCGAGCTAAGTATATTTTATCTTCTTATAATTAAGTCTCTATTTGAGCACCATTCTTTTAAAATTTATTTCCATTCCCACATTCTCCCGTTTAAAATATTTTTGCATGTAAACATATAATTTTTTTCTCTACTTTTAAACAACAGATGGTCTGAAAAAATCATTTCTTACAAAATCTATTCTCAAATATATGAACACTAAAAAAAGCAGATGACCATATTACTTCTATTTGTACTAGACATCAAGGTCTCATGCATGTGAATCCATTTCAACATATATCAAATAAAAATGTCGAATATAACAATCTTTTAACTAAATTTGGATAAGCACGTGATGAAGCATAAAAATCTCATAAATTATTCACTTGGATTAAAAAAATAAAAAATAAAAATAAAAAAAAAACCTAAGCCCCTATTTGATAGAGATTAAAATATGTATATCTAACACAAATCTTAGGGTTCGTTTGATTGCAAAGATGAAATTTGGGTGACAAGAAAACGAATTTCAGTGAATTGAATTGCCTAGAAATTGTTTTTCTGGGAATTGATTGAATTGCCTGGAAATTGTTTTTCTGGGAATTGTAAATTATTGTGTTTGATTGGTATAATTTTTCACGTGAAAAATGTTGAAATAAATGTGTTATTTTGCGTTCGTTTGGCTTTATTTTATATGAAAATTATCAATTAAAGGGATGAAATTTGTTTCCATTGAAAAAAAAAAAAAAAAAAAATCCAAAAAAATCATCTATCTTTTGGTATTCGTTTGCTTTTGTTTTACATAAAAATTGTCAATTAAAGGAAAAAAAATTTTACAATAATTTTTAGAATTTGTTTCCATTACAAAAAATAAAAATAAAAAAAAATTGAAAAGAATCAACATTTTCTCTGGCGATGGTGAGAATTGATTTTCCCACAAAAGCTAGAAAACTACAATTCCCAAGAAATC